TCACATCTGGCATTTGTAAAACACATTTTCGTCTCACATTTAACACGTCGAGGGTAAATAAACCCTGATTATTCACAATTTGTAATTAGTTTGAAGCCACTTTTTAATGTCACCAGGAAACAGTGTGACATACACATTGGAATTACAAAGCATCATTTGCTGAGATAAAATGTAATATTTTAACCACAAAGCTAATAAATGATGTTTTGCAAAGTGTTTAAAGTCATCTAGCAGCACAAGTAGCACTTGCTGAGTTAAAGTGTGAACTTTGCTCACCACTTTCTTGCTTAAATGTTTTTATGTACAACTCAAATACAGCTGAAATAAATACTGGTTCACGCATTTGTATTGGTCTGAATACCAGGGGCTTATAAAGATTTTTGTCATATGCCCTGTAACATGCGTTAGACTCCACTATGCACAGTCCTGGTCACTTTCACTGAACTTAAACACTTTCACATGTTTCAGAATTGCTGGTGTTATTCAACCTAAGATGAAAGTGATGTTGCATTTCCTTATTGCACCTATTCACAGAACAAGATTTGTGCCTGTCGTCAATTGGACATTTCACATAAGTAGACAGTAACTACAATCTTGTTGTTTTTAATGACTTCAAAAAACAAGAATATACATGATGGTGCCAAGGTTTTGACTTTCAAAGTGTGTATTTAATTAACTAGGTGAAGCTTTGCTTCTTTGTTCATTTTTACTGTGTTCTCAGATATTGCACCATCTGTGGGAGGAAATTGGCAAGACGTTTTGAACCGAGGCTTCGAGTTGCATTCAGTAGAATGAGTCCATGACATTGAGATAAACTTGAAGAATCTTGCATTGTGAAAAGAGCAAAAATCATATTTATCTAGTCTTGATTTTTTTCTTTTTATCTGTAAACACCATCCCAAGCTTTTTATAAACAGACAAGTGTGTGTGTGAGTGTGTGTTAAAAGCCCTTATTTCCTGTTGAAAATCAAAACACCTGTACGTAGCCTACAACTACAACAAGTCTGTGTGCTGTCAAATGGATTCATGAACGTGTGTAACAGAAGGGGTGTGAGTCAGGAGCTCTATTAATGTGGCCTCAGAACACTTTAGCCTTAGCGTAGCCTCCCAGCTGGTGCTGAAACACAATGCAGCCCTGCTGCTGCTGCATTCATTACACTACAGACTCCAGTTACAGCCAGGTTACTGCAGGGTTAGTTCTCACCTCTCAAGGCTCTCGCACCAATTTTTCTAATGTCCTGATCAATTTAAAGAAACCTTCAGTATCAATGTATGTAGTAGAACAACTATTATCTATAACTATTATATTATTGTGAGTAATTGTGTGGCCTGTTAAATGTAAGAAAATCATGAAAGGTGCCACTGCAATCAGGGCTGATAAAGGGTGTCCCCTGTTGCCTGACCTTTTCCCCACTTTCTTTGCAAGGTGCATGTGTTACCTAGTGATTGTAATCAGTTTGTGGTAATTTGATTGAGCTTCCTTAGGCATACGCAGCTGGTGAGCACAAGGTAAACTGAAACAATAAGGGGTTTAGATCTGAAATGCAACTTGGAGGAGCTTAATATTACATAGTCATAGGTGTCTTAACTGTGAGACAAGCTAAAATAAAATAACTATAGTAGCAGAAGAGAAATACAGAAGCATAAAACACAAAAAGACATAGATCAAAAATGAAAGGTATCCATGAAGTACAAAGTGTGTTTAATAAAGTAGTATTTACATTGATGTTTCTCACCCAAACACAGTGCATTGAAGCCATAAATCATTTGCAAAGTTGATTTAAAATGAAAAAATTAAAGCTGCATTGTTTACAAACCGTGTTTACCAATTAGCTGTTTCCTTTTTGTTGCCACATTGATAGATTTGTTTGTCTGTTAATTGCCACCAACTGCCAGTCAGTGGAGGTGATGGCAGGAATGTTGATCACCATGTCCCGGTCCTTGTGTCCATACATGAGATACAAACAAATTGGAGACCTACACTACCAGTCAACAGGTTCTACACACTTTCCCACTGAAGTTAATGGGGCAAAAGGTGTCCAATGTGTGTGACTGGTAGGAGTGAAACCGTAGCTTCACACCACCCCTAGTAGAATTTTGGTTGGTTAGGTTCTGTCATTTAAACAGCTGTTTAAAAAAAAAGCTACAATCAAATCTAATAGTCCTTTATTTTTTTGAAGGTTTGCCTGGAGAAGTTATGATGAAGAATGGCTCTGCAGTCACAGATTCGACTGCCTCTGACCTCCACGATCACACCAGCCACCACCGCCATGAAGCCAGCATGACTCCACACAGCGAGCACATCCTGCCCACTTACAAGCCATCCTGCTCCTCTACCCCCATCTACTACAGCAGCCCTCAGAAAACCTACTCAGACCTGGACCAGGACAACCACAGCTTGACTTCCCAGGACTCTGGGATCCCCACTCTGGAGATCAACCCTCCAGAGGCCATCCTCCACAGTCAGCAGCGCCCAGGCGATGTAGGCCTCATCCTGGACTCCAGTCACAATTGCCCTGCCACGTTACCTTTGAATGGTGATCTCTCTGACAGCATCCACAAATCCTCCACCTTCCCCCGCAGTGGCTACGACTCCATTCGTCTCTTCAGCCCTGGCCTCAGATTATCCACCACCATGGGCATGGGTGTCGGGGGTGGAGTCTTGAACCGCAGCGACGACATCTCTGTCTGCAGTGTGTCCAGCATCAGCACTGAGCTGTCAGTCTCCAATGAAGACATCTTGGATTTCACTGTCACGTCTGACTCCAGTGCCATCGTCACCTTGGAGACAGACGACAGCGGCACTGCTCACTTCTCAGATGTTATGCTGACGTCATTGCCAGATGACGCCAGAGATTTAAGGGGTCCTGTACGACCGTTTCCAGGGTCAGATGCTGTGAAACAGGAAGAAGATGGGCGGCAAAAGAAACTGGGAGCTCTGTCGACTTTATTCAACAAGTAAGTTCAGTTGCTTGAGCTCTCTTTATTATGCCATGAACAGTCATTCTGTTTAATGTGACTCCACAAGTTGTAGAGGTTTGTCCACAGAATACATGTCAGTCATGTAAAGGAGTTCATCTTTTTCATAACTTCCACTGAGGTATACACACGAATGCTTACCAGAAATGAAATTTTCTTTTTATTGTGCATTTGTTTCAGTATAATGTGACAGCAGCTTATACCTGCAGGTATCCATCAAATTCAGCCAACACTCCATGGGAACACTTTATTTCACGTGTGTTTTCAAATGCAAAATGTCCCTACTTCACTGTAAAACAAACAAAACACTTTTTAATCTATATTATACTTAAGCATTTGTTAAAGATGCTTTTCTCTGTACATCCCAGCATCTGCACACAGTATAATAAGAGGACAGTCATAAATTATGGTGCCATGTGTGGCCAAAAAAAAATTAATTCAGGGTGAGGCAGCCTCTGCAAGATAATTAAGCATTTTATACTTCCTCTCATTATAGTTGTTCATTGAAGGCCTTATTGTATCATTACTGAAATAAGCATTACTCAAGGTCAGTCTCGAAACCTTGATTAGCCAAGACATTCCTCTCAGACCTCCCCACCCCTCTTGTGTGTTACAGCTGAGCCAGGACATAACCCTGTCCTGTGCTTGACATAGCACAGTTTAGTGTAGTTTAGCTCTGCTTAGTCTTGATGCAGCATCACATCACTGTCACCGAGAAACCCAGGACAACATGTGAACACACCTGAGAGAGCTTGATTGCTGAAACCACATTCATTTATGCTTTACATATCAGCGCTTGCACACATGGCCCAGTACCTGGGATCCACCATTACCTTCTTAGCTGAGGAATGTTCTGCAAGAAGACCAGGCAGAGCAACAGATAGAAGATAATTAGAAGTTACTGAATCAAGAAGGGAACATGCCACACTTCCCTCTTTTTATAATAGCATACTGCTACATGCTATTGCATGGCAGTATCTTTATACCTAATTGTATTTGGACTACAGTGGGTCACAGTGACCCTGGATGTTCGCACAGACGCAAAACTTGTTTACTGTAATTGACTTTAGATGAAATGAGTAAGAAATTTCCCCGTGGGGATTAATAAAGTACAATAAATTAAAATAAAAACAATTGATTTAGTAGGGTCATGCCCTACTGTGTTAAATTGCAGTACCCCTCTCTCCTTGTCTCCTTACCGTTCTGGCCAGTTACAGTACCTTTCCCTGTAAACCCCCCTCATCATGTGGAGACGTTACTTATTCTCTCAGTGCTCTACGGACTCTTGCTCCTCATACCCATTGCTTCCCTCCCATTTAAGTCAGGCCTCTCATTGTGGAGGCGGAGACGTCGAGGAGCAGCCTGTTCCTTTACAGTCCCAGTCTGCCTGAACATACTCGATGTACGAGACGTTTTCAGACTCTGGCTGTGGGCCTCAGCCTTGACTGAAGGAGAGCTTTGGGTTCATCAGGAGGTTTTGCTCTCCTTTATTTATTCCTAACATCTTTGAAAGATTTTGTGGCGGAGGATTGTGATTTCAGTGTTTTGTGGTGACAGAGCAGGATGGCAGCCCCTCCGGTTATTCTGTACATTGACAGGTAGGATAATGTATTGCTGACATTTCTTAAACACCCGGTAAATGTCTGTTTTCTGTGCCTGCATGCAACAGAGACTTGATCAGCAGTAGAATAATATGGTTTTTGTGCATGGACTACACAAGTTCTGTTGGACTGAACACACTCTTTTCTCTGGGTTCAGTGTGTTCTGGTTGACTGTTGTAAAAGAACAGCCTGGAGCAGCTTTATGTCTTGCTCAGTCGTGTTCTATGATGGGGGAAAAACTCAGTGTACTTGGCTTTCCTTCTTCTTGTACTAACTTGCTTGGTATTTCTGTGCCAAGTGTCATTATTAGTTCAAACATATAAGCCACTGGGACACACTATCATTTTATTTGCACACATTGTTCTTTGGAGTCTGGTCCACAAACCAGTGCAGTGCAGAGCCTCAGCATGAAATCAACAAGCATTTCTGCCAGCCTTGACTTTTCTGCTGTAGCTGTTCCATGTGAGCACTTGACCATAGCTGCAACCATTCAGCTGTCACATTGAGGCACATTTAGCCTGGACTAAATGCAAATTATGTTCCTGCTTTGTTTGGTGTCATACAGTGAAGCTTCAAACATGACATTTTGCAGAAGCGTACAGAAACATCTGATGTGTAAGTGGTGAAAGTTGAGACAAAGTCAGGCTTGGCTTTCTCAGGGTGGTGCTCAGTTGCCCTCTGCACTTCAGTCTGTACGGTATGGCATTGTTTTATAGTGGTTCACAGGGTTACTCAAGTTCACCACTCCCCATAGTTGAAAGCTTTATTAGCGTTGACTTTGTCCATGATAGGGTTTGCTCGCTAGTAGTGGAGATTACTCAGCTGGTACCATGTGAAGTGGAGTATGGAACCTAGGACACATGATAACAGGCCATAACAAGGTTGTCTTTATACTGATGAGGAGCATGAAAATGATGTATTGAAAGCTTGCAGAAAAACTAAACGTGTATGACACTATGTATTCCAGCATGTTTCTTTTGCCTTTCTGTAAGAGAAAGTATAAGAAAGAGGATTCTCTGTCCAGCATTTCCCCTCTGCTGTTCTGAAAATAGCTGAACAAGATAAGCTTGATACAACACAGCCACTGTTTATTACACTGTGCCCAGTCTGTAAACACAGCTTACAGTAAATGTGCTGGCCCTTAATATGTCTCCTCATTTAAACCCTTGAGTCACCCAAAGATTGAGGAAACACCTTCCACTGCTCACATTATCTTGGCTCACTGATATTGTAGTAGGCAGAGTAGAAACATGGGTTGGTGCTCTGAGTGAGGCTCGATGCTGTAATATAATAACACATGATAAAGTTGTGCAGCGCATAATTTAGGAATCATTTTAAGTCAACTGTTGATCATTACAGGCATTCGTTGTGTATACATGTGAGTTTCAGGCTCCAGCTTGCGAGGTGAGCCAGCCTGGCAGAGACAGACACTACAGTCACATGTAGCTCACTGACCCAAACAGGTTATGGTGAATGAACAGAGTCACTTCTGCTCACTCTAGTTTGACAAAGCAATCCGCATTTGTGTCCTCAGATGTCTGGTATGATCACAAGGCAACTTGAGAGTGAAGGAGCGGTACATTGTGTCCACACAGCTGCTTCATTACTTGGATTGGCAGACAGAAAACACCAGTATCTTGTCATTTTGTTTTCAGATTGCTCTGGGAACTGGTCATGTCTGTACAGATAAACAGATGTGAAATGTGGTTAATAGGCATGTGTGGTATAATTTTTTCCTGTGGGGGTGGGGGGGCTATTTTTGGACAGTGCCAGCTTTCTGTGTCTTATCTTCTTGTAACACAATGCTTTACTTCTCTTGTGACTTCAGAGTTACTGTACTCCTATAAGCTGTAGTTTGATTAATGACCCTGAAGCTCCACTGTAAGCATAATGGAAACAGCTGCACTGTGAACAGTCTACAACACAGGCAATGTACCATATACTGCAGGGTAAAACATCTTAGTGGCAATGTTGTACAGTTAAACATGCTTCAGAAATAATATATTCTTTTATTGATTGTAATATACATTATACAGCACGTATGAGGAAAAACCGTAATACACCAGCACTAGTGATGGTTCCTGCAGATCATGAACATGCATATATATTTTTAAATGATGGTCATCTATCTCACACACTTTCTCTCATTTTCTCTTTCTTTCTTTCTCCTTCTCCATGCGTCTCCTGTCTGTGTCGCTGCTGTCACCACAGAAGAACAAGCCACATACCAAAGAAATGATCTTAAAATATAAAAAAAATACAAAGAGAAACTAATTTTAGAGTGATAGTGGCATAATATTTGCTTTGGCATATTAGGAATAAAAAGGGTTCCTTTGTGTATCCACAGTAATGGTTGCCATTATGTAAAATGGATTGCTCACAGGGAAATGAGTTATTAGTGAGCACAACAGAAGGCCGCACGTCTTGATGACAGCCATTTCCACAACAAACCCAAAGCCTGCCTGCAGCCGTGTCTGCTTAGTGTTGGGCGGCACGTTTCCTGTCAGCACTACCCTGGTGGCAGCCCC